TATACTTTACTTTTTGTGCAATTGTATTTAATATTAAAAAATTCTTATATTTATATAATTTATTTCATAAATATTATTGTATTTGTATTATAAGAGACTAATAACAATATTTTTTTTCTCTTAATTTGTACTATATATTAATATAATAATTAATATTAAAAAATTTACACGTAAAAGGCGAATATAACCTTCTTTTAGGAGGGAGATAGTATGCATAATAATTTAGAAAATATTAATTAATAATAAAATATAAAGTTTGACTTGTTAATTTAAATATTGATTATAATGTTTGCTTGATTTTTATTTGAAATTGATTTGAAATGAGATGTTAGATTTGAATTTTTGTTTAATATTTTGATTTGATATTTTATAAAATTTTTTTTATTAAAACATCTGTGCAAAATAAATAGTATTTTTTTAAAAAAAAATGCTAAAAAGAACGAACCATATATGTAAAAATGTCCAAATATAATTTTGTTGATTAATATTAATTAATATAATGTATGATATATATATATATATTTGAAAATTACTTAATAAATAAATTTTAATTAATTTTCATGAAATTTTCTATGAGAGTATTCTAATGAATACTTACTGTTAGTTATTAAAAATCCTAAAAATAATTTAGGAAGTGGTAATGTTGTTTGAATATTGAAGTAATTTATTATTATTATTATTATTATTATTATTATTATTATTATTATTATTATTATTATTATTTTATATGAGTAAATAGTATATTTTTATTAAAAATATTATAGTAGTATTTCTTTAATTTATTGAAAATAATACAATATATAAAAGAATTATCTTTTAAATAAATAAAAATTATAAATCAGGATAAAGAAAATATTTTTGGTTATAGATCACATGCAAAGCTATTTTCATAGAGGGACCATTTTCAATGATTAAAATAATAATGAGTACTGTATACACTTAAAATTATATATTTATATATATATTCTTATTAGTATACAGTTTGTACTACTCCACACAATAAATTAAAACATTTTTATTCAAGAGTATATCTCAATTCTAATTTTAAAAAAAATGTTTTTATATATAATGCAAAAGATGAAAGTAGAGATCAATGATTAGGAGCATGCTTTATGTGCAATTGCATGTAATCATATAAATCAATGACAATTGAGCAAAGCAATATATGGACCACAATTTTGTGACCATAATTCACCAACTTTGTTTTTGTTTAATGTGTATACATATATACAAAATATTATCTTTTTATAATAAACATTTTGTATAAGTAAAATATGGTCGAATTGATGCGGTAGGGTGACTAGCGAGTTCAAACACTGTCGACTTTTTTTTAGTAGGCTATTGGCCGTCAGTTCGGGGATCTATTTGAAGAGTACTACTTCAATTACTCGCATCATAAAAATAAAAGTTAATTTCATTAACGGCGTGTTTAGCGCACTCGGAAATAGCATATGCTAATTCTTACGTTATAAAAAAAGATATTTAAGTGTTTATTTTTGACGTTTTTATGTACGTTTTTTTTTTAAAATGTTGGATATAAAATTCTTATAATTAATATAATTTTATGTTAAATTATTAATATTTTACAAATGAATAAGTTGTTTTTGGTAAATTGTTATAGGAGTCTAGAAAGTATATATATGGAATCAAAAGAAACCAAACTTATATAGTTTCGATATTTGACTAAGTGCTGAGTAGTATTGCACAAATAATTATAATGTTTGTTAGAAATATATACTTACTCAAACTCAATTTGCTGCTTGTTTTTTTATTTTTTTTCAGTAAATTAAAAATTAATAATATTTCATTAATTAATGAAGGTGTATAAATAATATTGACATTTTTATTCTTACCAGTACAATAAAAATGAATATTTTTGTAAAAGTTGAAAGAGTTTTAATATCTATATATATATATTTATTTTATTATAACAAAAAATTAATACTTTTAAGCAATACATATAAAACTTATAAAAAAAAATATACTTCAAGTTAAACTAGAAAAGTATTTAAAAAAACATTATCTCTCTCTTATTCATTAATGAATGGTAATCACAAAAATGGTATAGAGCTAGTTTTACACAAGGGCGGATACAACATTAAGTAATTAATTCACAATAATAATAATAATTATTATTATTAGGGCCTTAGCTGGTGATCCGGGCTGTTTCAAATTGGATCAGTAATCAATTTCTAGGTTAGAGGCTAGATAACAAGTCTCTTTGACTTTTACATAAGGTAAAAAAGATGTGTTGTACTTCACTGTACAATATATATAAAATATATATAAAGATCCATCTACGTCAACATGGGCTATCAAGAACCTAGAGGAGGTAGGATGGGCAACTGCCTTGCGAACAGCTTGATGCACTATCTCCATTTAATAATAATACTAATTATCACTAAAATTATAAATACACTCCTAAATATTAGTGCTATATTTATTTTATGAATAAGTGACACTTGTAGTATTTGACAAGACCCACCAAAATAGTTATTTATGTCTTACTTTTTTTTTCTTCAATAAATTTTCCTTTTTCAATAGAGATAAAGATTGTAGCTACTTGTAAAGTTATATCCTACTTAATTTTTAGAAGCAAAATTGATGATTTTCGAATTATTATTGGATAATTTCATTATTGATGTTCATTGTAATGAGATATTTTGGAATTTGAAAATTTTAAATGAAATTTCTATGAAATTTGTTGAGACGGAGAAAAATGAAACACTTTTTATAAAACTTCTTATATCAACTACAATAGTGAAAAGATCATTTTTAGCAATAATTATCATCAAGAATAAATTACGGAATAACATGAAAATTAATTATTGAATGATTGTTTTGTTACTTTTCTAGAAAGGTATGTGTTTACGAAAGTTAATATAAATACTATTGTCAACCAATACCAAAATATAAGATCCCATTGTGAACATTTGTAGTTATTTTGATGTATTAATATTGTTAATTTAAAATTTTGATTTTTTTAGTGCAAATTTTGGTGGATGTATTTATTTATTTTAATTATATTATTTTGTCGACTCACCAAATTAAAAATACTAGATCCATAGTACTAATAAGTACATAAATATAAATTAACAATTACACTATTTGCCTATTATAATAAAAATACAACAAATAAATTTATAATACATGACAATGATTTATATAATATATGCTGTCATTAAATCCAACACAAAAAATTTGTAAAAACTAGTCATAAATAATCAACATCCTAAACAAGTGAATAGTTTAATATAATTACCTAGGAGTTGAAAATTTATTAAATATATAAGTGACACTCTAATATTTCGGTACTCCAACAAATAAAATAATGACAAAAAAAGAAAATGTGCCGAAAAGCTAGAGAAAGTAACAAGTTTCCGGAAACTTGCCCTCGTGGTAGTGTTTTTGGAGTGAAACGCTAAAAGCCTTTTATAGGCATTTCCACCGTTGGAATGATTAAATTTCCACGTCGAAACCTCCGGCGATTATAATCCCAGTCTTCAATCCCGACAATCAATCTGCTGCATGATATCGCCATGCATACGTTGGGCTGAGTAAAAAATACGTGCCCTTGCCCGTTTCGTGTTTGATCGAAACGGGTGATGCACTTGTGGTTAGCTTCCCGACATACTTATGCCCTACAATTATTTTGTATATAAACACATAATGATTATGTTTAGTTTTTTTAGTTAAATACCTTCATAATTAGTCCAAATTGATTACACCAACTAATAAATTTGTTTTTTCGAAGCTCTACTCATTGATTCATTGGTTTTAATAATTTCGAATTTTATTTTTAACCAATCAATTTACCATTAGTTATGAAAGTTAAATATATACTATAGTTTTAATCTTTTTGAAAATATTAAATAGTAAAAGAAAAAGTGATAAACTTACTTTATGATTAGCACATGAATACAAGACTTAAGTGAACGAGAGCAATTCTTAAATAAGAGCATCTAACTCAACTCAATAACCATTTTTACGTGTCTAGTAAAAATGAATTAACATCGCAACAAAAAGGGTCAATTACGTTCCGACAAAAAAAAGATAATAATAATGAGATGATCGATGATCCGAGGATATAAGTAATTTCCTTACAAAAGCTGGTGCTAAGTTTATTTTTTTGGCGCCGCAATAATCTATAATTTTCTTAGTTTCGCCTTCTCTGATGCAAATTCAAAGGCAAACTAACCATCGAAGCCACCATATTACTCATCTGATGGTTTATTGATCCGAGCTATTAACGTTTTTAAAAAAATGCCGATGATAATATCATTTATATTTCATAGATCTTTGTATAGTTTTTATACCTACTAAAAATATTGTAATTTCAAGAACAGCAGCAAAAACTTGTCACAAAGAAGCAAAATCGACAGGCATATTGAGATAGCTTTGATTTGGTTTCACAATTCTCATATGCTAAGAACCGGACAAGGCTGGTTCCTGACAGACTGCCCTAATGTTCATAGTAAGTACATTACAACACTAATCAAATTATTCGTAGAAAAACATCAAGTTTCGAACAAAATGAGCATCAAAAACCCCAAGCTTATAAATTTCTAATATGTTTTCTCATAACAGCAGAGCATTGAAAGCATTTTAAGTCGCGATTGGCAAAAATGAACATAATCAGATCAATGAAGAGAGATGATATTATGAGATCAGCAAAACAATAGCTTCAATCAACTCACTATTATCGATATATTGATTTCTACAAAAGATGACCATTAAACTAAATAAACATCTTACGCATTCAACACTATAGAAACTTACTATTTCCTTCACTAAATATGTCGGTCACTACGAAAAATAATATTCTCGTTAAACTCTATAAACAACTTACGATTCCCGGCATCTGATCACGCCGGTTACTACAAAAGACAATCTTTTCAGATTACAACAAACTTGCTATTCCATGAATTTGATATGTCTACTACTGAAAGGCAATATTTTCAGATTGATAAAAGGATTAAATCCGATCGAAAACAACTTACTATTCACTGAATACGATTTCTTGGCAGAATGTAGGTCCAATACTGTCATCATCCATTTGTATCTATGGCATCAAATAGAGCTCTGCTCTGCACAAGTCTACAATGGACGTGAAGAATGAACAACTGAATGTAAATTCATTGGCAATAAACATCCTTCGAATTTCGAACATTTCATCACTCCTTGTATGCAATAATTCATCTAAATTTGCTAAACGATTCACAGTTGTATAATCAGGCAATTTCTTGTAAATGCCGACATGGAAAACAATATATGATTTCTATACAGCTCATCACGCTACGGAATAAATAATTTCGAAGAGTTCTTCACCTCGCTATTTCCTCCGGTTTATTAGGTTTCAGTTAATCATCGGCGGCGGCGGCATCCAAATGGGGATTGCAGTCTCTCGAGTAGAAATTGTTCTTCTCAATCAAAGTCCTGAGCATATCGTAAGTGAATTCGGGGCTGTTTGGATCACTGGTCGGCGAATCACCGGCGGATTCCGCCTTGCGCGGCGGCTTAGGGCAGAAACAACACCCAATCCACAAGGACCGGGACTTCGCGGGAATGCCTTTCTGCTTCGGCCTTCGCGACCTCTCCAGAAGCTTCTTACCTCTTTTCAGCCGAAAGAAATTCGACTTCTGACCCTTCCTGCCTTTCTCCCCCAATCCATGGCGCTTCTCCTCTTCTGCGTCGACATTTTCCCCAATTTCTTCGTCAATCCTCCCATTATCGACTCTCGCCCGCTCTCGATCGGACATCAAAATTCGATTGCAACAACGGGTCGTCTAATCGGGCAATCGATTGAATTACATGGCACCAAAACGAGCGGCATACGTTTCCCGAAGCTTTTTCGCGTTCGTCGACGCGAATGAATTTCTGTGTGGTGAATCCGACGGCCCGCCCTGTTGATGGAACAATCTGTGGAGGATATTCGGGAATCGAAGAATTTCACCCCGACGATGATTGGGACAAATGAAATATGGGCAGAAGTGGTTGAATCGGAGGGGGAGAATTGAGTTTACGTCATTGTCGAAGGGCAATTTAAGAGATGTAAGTGGGGAGTGAAATCTGAATCACAGCTTTGCGTAAAGGCGGACAACTTTGGTACAGGTTATGAGTTCATCGCTGCAGATATCTGGCCAGGGTGGGCGACCCACCTGGGTGTCCGCCACGTGTCCTTCTGGTTTATCTAATGAGTAGTTTTGAATTAATTTTTAATTTCAAATTTCAAAATGGAAAATAGGATTGACCACACGTTTAAATTACATGCTTTGTTTAATCGGACTGTTCGTATAAGATTTCTTTTTGAGCTTTTGAAATAATAGGAAAATAATAAAAAGGGAAAAAATTAATTTTGATCACAATATTAACAAAATTGATATTGGTATCAATGTAAAAAATTCATTAATTTTAATTCTGTTATAAATAATTTCAATCAATTTTGATCCAATTATAAATAATTTTAATTAATTTTAGTCTCATCATTAAAAAAAATTAACGAAAATGACTGACGTGGATATAATAAAGGTGGTGTGGCAGCTGACCTGAAAACTACACGGTCTGTACAATTATACACGGTCATATTGTCAAATGACCATGTATTTCAATGTATAGATATACATGACCATGTTGTTACACTACCATGTACAATTATATACGACCATGTAATTTTCAGTATATAAATATACATGGATGTGTACCTTTCTGTTTTTGTTTAAAATTTAATTATTTTTGTTATATTTTTTCAAAAAATATATATTTTTTGAATTTAGAATAGTTAATATAGTTAAAAAAAACAATAGTAATCATAATATAATTAAAATGTATCAATTTTAATTAAAATATAAAAATTTGTAAGATATATCATTTTGAAAGGTTTTGTTTAAAATTTTATTATTTATAAAAAATTTCCTCTTACAAACATCCAATTAAACAATTATTTTTTATTTTTATATATTACAGTAGTATTAAAAATTCATTTATTGTTTCAATACAATTATTTATGTCTATGTTGAAATGGTTTGAAATTGTATTGAAATATAAAATTAATTTGTAAAACTACTATAACATACAAAAATAAAAAATAATTGCGTAATTCAATGTTTTTAAGAGAATTTTTTTTTGGTAAATAGTAGAATTTTAGACAAAATTTTTTAAAAAAATATACTCGATAAATATTTATATTTGAACTATAATTAATATATTTTAATTATATTATGATTATTATTAATATATTTTATTTTTCTATTTCAACTATTTTAAATTCAAAATATTTTTTTTTTTTAAAAAAAACTATAACAAAACTATTCTAAATTCAAAATATTTATAAAAATATATATATAACAAAAAAATAAAATTTTCACACAAAAACAGAAAGGTACACGATCGTGTATCTACATGGTTTAACAACATGACCATGTATATTTATACACTGAAAAATACATGGCGGTGTGACAACATGGCCGTGTAGTTTTCAGGTTAGCTGCCACACCACCTCTGTTATGTCCACGTCAGCAATTTCCGTTAGTTTTTTAACGGTTTGACCAAAATTGATTGAAATTGTTTATAATGGGATCAAAATTGATTGAAATTGTTTATAACGGGACTAAAATTGATGAGTTTTTTTTATATTGACACCAAAATTGATAAATTTTGATTATATTGGGACCAAAATTGATTTTTTTCCGTAATAAAATCTAGAGTATTTAATGTGATAATTTAGGGATTTGATTCTCGATTTTACTATTTCAATTTTTTTGTCTAAAAAATATCAAATTAAATATATATTTTATTTATTACATTACACTAAAATTAAATTTTATATTTAAAATATCACATTTATACATATAAATTATTTTACTATTTAAAATCAAAATTCAAAATCTAAATCTAAATAAATAGGTAGAATTTTAATACTTATTATTTTAAATAGAAAACCCCAAAATTTAATATTCTTGTTCCCCCATAAATTTTTAGGAGATTGGTTTCAAATTTGATTAGGTCGTGTTATTTGGTGGTTTTTGGTAAAGGTTTTTACTATATTCAGTTTTTTTTTTTTTTTTTTTTTTTTTTTTTTTTTTTTCTATCTCTAAAGATATAGAATCGATCAATCATCTTTTTTATTTTATTTTATATTATAAATTATTATACATTCAAAATATCACATTGATATCTATTTATATAAGATTAACAACTGTTCAAATTCAAATTTTTACTATTAAAAAATTCAAACCCAAACCCACAGACAAACACACCCTGTGTTTTGGAGCTGTTTGTTTATGATTTCAAACATAAATTTATTTTTTTTTGTTCGCAATAATTATGTAATTTTTTCTAATAATTATGATATCATTATTATTTTCATTCATAAAATATCATTAAAATAATATGATATCATTATTATTTTCATTCATAAAATATCATTAAAATAATATTTACACAAAAATTAAAATTAAAATTAATACTTCATTCGTTCCAAAAGAAGTGTTACAGTGGGAGTGAATACATAAATTAAAGAATAATAGTATTAAATTGAAAATACTACAAAGTAAAATGTAAATAATAAAATTATCCTTACTTTTGAAAGAGTTTTAAATAATATGTTACAATAATAATTAGAGATAGTTTTGAAAAATATGGATAATTTGCTGTAAAAATGGGACTACAATTACTAAATAAGAAAACAAAATAATTGTTTTGAAATGACGAAAATAAAAAATATAAGACAACTCTTTTGTAGCAATATCATATTCTTTTGAGTAACCCTTCGCTATATTATGTTCCTTGTAGCCATCAATCGGACCATCGAAGCTGGTCTTGATCTTGTAGACCCTCTTGCACACAATAGGTACCTTATCTGGCGGTGGTATCAATTCTAAGTGTCCATCTTTCAAGAGCTTATAATTCCTCTTAAATAGCTAAGCGCCAACAAAAGGGCAAGAATTCACCTTTTGAAAGAACTTGGATTCACAGTAAGACAATATAGAAAAGTACTAATCAAATCAATGAGTAGAAGCAAAATTTTGAATTATACAAGTAGAGAAATGGGTAGTAGTGGTAAGGATAAGAGGAGCATCGAGAAGAGGATTAGACACTAGTTCAAGAGACACGGGTAGGTCCGCTGGAGGACGCGAGGATGACAGGACTATGTCGACAATAATATATGTGAGCTCAAAACCTGTAAAAGATGGAAAAAGTATAGAGAAATCATGGATGAGTAATGGAGACTTAAAAGTGAGATGTAATATGAAGTTTGGACACTGATGAGAACATCTAATGCTCCCACAATAGATATGACGAAAGATATGAAGACAATTAGAAATATGATCCCAACACTGATAACTGTTATGCTTTACCTTATTAAACCAAGAAATAGTATAAACGAGCCCGTGATTCAAAATTATTGTATTCGTGGGGTGGGATGAGGACAAAATTTACACAACTAAACAGATGAACAAAAAAGAGTAATCAGGAAACTAACCAAAAAGCTTCTAAAAAAGAATGACAACGTGAAGAATAGAAGAATGTAACCAATTAATGGTATAGACGGAAAAAAAGAAAACGGCTCTACAAAAGTGATCACGACAAGATGTGGATAAAAAGAATACACAAATTGTATTGAGGATATGACGATACTCACATGTCGTCTGACCATTTTACTAAAATACGTACGGACAAGACTGCTGAGCAGAAGTATCATGAGCATAAAAAAAGCTGAGAAACACATAACCACTATGATATAGGGCATCATCAGTATGTAATGTTCGGATAGTATGAGAAAACTAAAATGAATCATTTTTTCAATGATAACATTTATTTAGGCAAGTTTAGAGTGTTGTTTCATAAATTAAATTCATATAAAATGAAAAAAAAAATCATCAATAATAATCACAATGTATTTATACTCATTCGTAGATCCAATATGTGAAGGCTCCAAATATTCAAATGTACCAAAAAAAAAATAAATTTATCCGTAACAGTGAAATTTGAAAAAAAAAAAAAACAAACAAACTGTTTTTTAAATTTCCAGTGCATATAATCAAAAGATTAAAAGATTAAAAGATTAAAAAAAAGGATGTACAAGATGCTACATCTATATACTTATAAAAAATTCTCCAATTAAAAGATAAAACAAATCAATTCAGTATAAGAGATTTAGAGAAAGTACGCAAATCAAACGTTGAGGCAGAGCAACATACTGGTCGAACAACAACTTCAAAATAGTAGAAAATAATAAATCTATCCACACAAAGCTGTTGGAAGTCGAAACAGAAGGGCGGCACCGAAAATGGTCGCTAGAGGTGGCTCGACGTGCTGCTACGCGTGGCTGACGCAGATGACTATAAAATTTATGAAGCCATCTAGTTTCGACAAAGCGGACGGCGTGGTAGCGGCGGTGTCGATCCGAGGCAAACGGACAACGGAAAAACATAGATGGTGACACAAGGGAGAAAAAAGCCTTAGTTGTCAAGCTTTGATACTATATTAGGATTTGTGAAAAATAAGTATATTACTTCAACTATATTACAATATTTACATAGTATATATACAGAAGCGTCTCATAGTAGGAGTAAAGTGAGCAACTGAGTCCATATTTTAAAAATATTATCCATTATTATTATTAAATTTTAATTTTTGGTTTATATTTTTTTTTTCTTTTTTATTATCAAATTTAATTTTAAACTCTAGTCATTTATATTTTTCTATTTTTTTTTTCTCTAACCATGTCTCGCCCTATTTTTTAAAATTTAATCGTCGTCTACATTTTTTTACCTCACACCCTGTCGCATTGCGCCCACCAACTCAGACCTAACATGCCTCATCTTTTCTCTTATCTTTTTCACGTTCAATCCTTCTCGTTTTTCGAACTTTCGGACAAACCTTCTTTCATCTTATTTTCTCAAATTGACATTATCCAGACCGTTCAATTTCTTATTCAATCGATGTCAATTAATGATATTATTTTGAAAATACATATGTTTATAAGGCCTATAATTTATTTTCGTTCAAAGCCAAAAAAGTCTGAGATGCCTTGAGTATATACACAAACTATCTATGGGTGTTTTTTTTTTTTTTTTTTTTAATCAAACTGCCAAATTTCTACTATTAGTCTGAATTTTCTCTTTTAGAAATATACAATTAAACAACTAATTTTTTATTTTTTTATATTATACTAAAATTTAATTTTAAATTTAAACATTACAATAACACCTATTATATCATATCACACAAGTACTTCAATTCAATTTTTTTTTATTATTCATATTCTCAACCAAAAATTCAAACCCCCAAACAAACAAACCCCTTATTTCTTAAAAATATATATAAAGGATATTTATACATAGTAGTTTACTATTACCTCTCCCAATTCCGGATATATTGTCACGGTTACTATAGATCGGAGAATTTAAGAAGAATGTAATTAGTAAATAATTATAAATGTATTAGTAAAAATAATTATAATATAATACATATAATAATAGATTAATGTTAAAATAACTAATTAAATAATTAAAAAATTATAAATTTGAAATTTTAAAATATGATTAAAATTTGAAAAAAAAAAACTAATATGTGGACTAGAAACAAATAAAAAATGTGACATTGTATATGAGAAATATGAGTACTTTTTACCATTCTTAAAACTTTGAATCCAATAGTAACACCAAAACAAACAACCCCTTATCCCCAAATTCACATGACATTTATTATTATTTATTTATTATTATTATTTTTGATGAAGTGGGAACTCGCAGCCGTTACTCGAAAGTGTGCACTGGGTAAACCCCCGACCGAACTTAATATCTTGCAAATCAGGCTCGACGGAAAAATCACACTAGGCGAAGCATTATTATTTATATTTTTCTTAATTATTATTATCGTTGTTGTCGGCATAAAAGTAATTGATCAAAGTTTTTCCTTTTTTTTTTTTTACCAAGTTAATTTGAAAATCTTTAGTTTAGACTTTGTTTACTTTACATATTTTTATTCACAAAAAATTAAATTAAATATTAATTTTATTTTTTTTCAAAATTTTCAAATTTAAAAAACTACTGTCTAAACAAATTAGTCAAACTGATCGTTTCTAAAATAAATAAATAAATAAAATTACATCTATATATTTTCGTTGATGTTAAAAACAATAAAAGAAGAGAGAGGTAGGACCGTTGTCCAATCGAAGTCATCATGTCACAAAGTAGAGGTAGGACCGTTTTCGAGTTTCGACATGCATTTTCGAAGGAAATAACAATAATAAAAAATAAGAACCAATTATATATTCATTACTTAATTTTACTTATTTATATAAAAAATAAATAGTAACAATAAAATATTGATTTTTCCTTCTCTATTTTATTTTATGTATACAATATGCTTTAACAATTATGATTATTTAAAATTTAATATATATATATATATATGCATATATAAAAAAAATTGGATTGTTTTTTTTTTTTAGTAAAATTGTTTGAAAAAGTAATTTTTTATATATAAAATATAAAAAATTATATTAATAATATAAAATAATGAATTCGTATAATATATTATTTTTTTAAATATATTTTTATTATTTTCGATGTTTTCCTTTTCTTGTCTCCGCCTAATACTCTATTCTACTATAACTCCAAAAATCATTGGAAAAGAACATATGCAATATATATATATATATTAAAGTATAGTTTAAAATTAATCAATTTTAATTAAAGTATATAAGGTATAAATTGATAATTATGTGGTAATAGTCGACATAATAAATAAAATAATATAAATAGAATATAAACTAATACAATGTTTACATATTTCTACTTTGGGACGTTCAATTATAAAGTTAACATTTCATTAAATACCTTACTTTTTTTTCACAAATACCTTTACTTTACATCACATAATTACTTTTACACAAAAAAATAAGGACAAAAATGTCATTACACTACTTTAACTACCTGCTATAATTAAAATACTATTATTTTCTTAAATACCGCGCTAAAAGTAAATGTAAACATTGTAAGTGAACGAGTATCATACTGTAAAAATTATATAATACATGTTATGATTGTTATTAACAAAATATAAATATATTATATAAATTGGTAATATATAATAATAAGTCATACATATCTTAAGAAATAGTTACTGACCCTAGCTACACACCCCAATTTATAAATATAAATATATTTCTTCGTTTCTTTAGGTAAATTTTTTTTAAATTTAGTACTCGAATTCTGTATTTTTAGAAAATATATATAAATATATTTTTTTTTCTTATAAAATATTCAATTAAATATTATTTTAATATAAAATTAAAATTAAAATTTCTAAAATCAAATTCAAAGAAATACATGTGAATTAAGAAATAATAATAATAATAATAATAATAATAATAATAATAATATTTGATTAATAAACTTTCACTTTTCAAATATATACTTCATCTATCAGGTAAAAGTACACTTGTTTGTTTTGGCACAAATCTTAATGGTTTTTTTTTAATTGTCTTTTATTGTAAAAAAATAGGAAAAATGATTAAATTGATAAAAAAAATTAGTACTATCACCGTCTCATCAGAAGAATGTCAAGAATGTCATTTATTACTCTCTTCGTCCCATAACAAAGTATTCATTTTTTAATTTTAGTCCGTCCCATAACAAAGTATCCATTTTATTTTTTTAGTAACTGTACTATCTATCTAACATTACAAATACCCTTACAATTTACAATATATTACACAAATGTCATTACTTTTATATCACACGTACTAACAAGGTTATTTTAATCATTTACACTTTATTCCTACTATATCTAAAACTACGTGCAAAAAGTAAATGAATACTTCTTTTTGGAACGGAGGGAGTATTATTTTTGTTATTATATTTAACATTCCAAAAATATTCTTATATTTGTATAATTTACTTTATAAATCTTATAGGTGTCTTTACTTATGAGGTTTTGGTTTTGGGTTTTGATTTTGAATAGTAAAATTTTGAATTGAAATAGTTGTTTGATATGATATAAATATATGTTGATATGATATTTTGAATATAAAATTAGATTTTAGTGTAATAAAATAAATAAGAATTGAGTGTTTGATTTGATGTTTTGGAGGGAAAAGAAAGTTAGAATAGTAAAATCAGACCTAAAATCTTACAAGTAAACAGACCCAATATTGTATTTGTATTATAAGAAAATAATATAAATCTTTTTATTTTTTTTCTTTTATTTGTACTAATGTATTAATATAGTAAAAATCAATATTAAAAAAATTTACATGCACAAAATCAATATAATACTCTATTCGTCTCGGCTACCGTATCTCTTTTACTGTAGACAAGAGAATTTATGATGTATATAATTAGTAAATAATTAAGAATGTATTAGTAAAAATAATTATAGTATAATAAAAATAATTTTAGATTAATATTAAGATAACTAATTAGTATAATTAAAATTAAAAAAATTAAAATTAAAAAATTTAAAACAAGGTTAAAGTGTATAATTCTTTAAAAAAAAAAATAACCGAATAAGTATGACATTCGAAAATGAAAAGCTGGACACGATACGTGAGATGAAGATATATAGTACCTTTTATGGGACAGAGACAATGGGGGATATAAGATTTTGAATTTGATGAGTTAATAAATTCACTACAAGATCTTATATTTTGATATCGTTTGACAATAACATCTATATTAACTTTTGTAAACATATCTTTTTCTAGAAAGTAACAAAACAATCATTCAATAATTAATCTCTCATGTTATTCTGTAATTTGTTCTTCATGATATTTATCGTTGAAAATAATCTTTCTACGATTGCAGTTGCTACAGGAAAAAATTTCAGATGTTTTATTTTTCTTTCTCAACAAATTTTATATAAAGTTTATTTATATTCTTTAAATCCCAAAATATCTCATTACATTGAACATCAATAATAAAATAATCCAATAATAATTCTAAAATCATCAATTTTGCTTCTGAAAATTTATGTAGAATACAATTATGCAAGTAGATGTTATCTCTTTTCATTAAAAGAGAAAAATCTATTAGAGAAAAAGAAAAAAAGATATCAATAATTCATTTGATAGGTTTTGTAAAATACTGCAACCGTCACTAGTTTGCAGATATTAGATTCGGTCAAAGTTTACCCAGTGTGCACTTTCGGATAGTGGCTGCGAGTTCCCAGGTCATAATAATAATAATAATAAAAAACTAACATTTAGAGGTGTATTTGTAATTTTCGTAATAATTAATATTATTGGCGGTGGGCATCCACAATATTTAACGAAATTACTGTAAAATATGATATATACGGATGAATACACGGTATTGATCCAAAATATATCTTAAAACAGTTGTGAATAATTTAATTACAATAATTCCTTACGAAATTTAATTAATTAATTAATTAATTACGATTAATTCGCTAATCTTATCCAGACACGAAACTTTCCTCTTTCGGAAACATTTTAATTCCTATCTTAAAAACAATATATTTTTCTTCAATAATCACTTAAAAATGTATTTTACCGATTTATTTTTTCCACCTCAATAATTCACAGCACAATTTTAATTCTGATCTGAAATAATTCTCCAAAAAAGAAAAAAAAAAAAAAGAATTAAAAAAGTGCAGAATACACATGCAGAATATCGTACTATAAGCGATGAGTGTAAAATGTGGACTTGATTGGTCCCAACCACTACACAAACACCTTCCAAATAAATCTTCCTATCAATAAATACACCACACACACAACAATTCCAATATATATATAAATAAATAAATAAATAAAATAATAATCATTAAATTAATCCTCTCTAGCACCTCCTCCTCCTTCTTCTTCTTTTAATTTTCATCTCGCCGGAAAAACCCACCGGCGAATTCAATGGAGGAGGAATCTCATCTTCCGCTCCTTTCCGGCCGACCAACTAACGGCGCCGTTACCGACGGCGTCCACCGTTCATCTTCCTACGGAATATGTATTTCAGCTTTTCCCCATTATGTGTGTATATATATATATATATTTTTTATTACGCACGACGTCGGAGAAATTAATGTTAGTTTTGATTAAAATATGGAGTAATTAACAGTGGCGGCGTTGGGAATGATGGTGGTGCAGACGGCGATCAGTGTGCTGAATATAAACTACAAATTGGCTGCCAACGATGGCATGTCCTTACCCTTGATTATAGCCTACCGGTTTATTTTCGGTTCGGCTGTCAGTGTCCCTATGGCACTGCTTATGGAGAGGTAATTAATTAATCAAATATTTAATTAAGATGGATTTATAAAAAAATATTTTCATTTATTTATTTTTTTTTAAATGATTTTTGATTTTATATATATGGTCTGTTGAATTTAAATTTTAACCTGTTTTGTTGTTATCTATGTATGCGTTTTAATGCATCTGCAGGAACAGTTGTTCGAAATTGTCACTGAAGATTGTGTTCTACGGATTTGCCGGTGGAATGTTTGGGTAAGTGAGGTTTGCTTGTTTTGTATTTTATTTTTATTTTTTTTTTGTGTAGGGAAGGAGAAATAGTAATTTAAAATATAATATTTTGTTATTAAATTATTGAATTTTGTCAAAAAAAAAAAATAAAATAAAAAATCAGTATTATATATATTAAAAATTGTATGAGAAAAAAACTTGAGTTGGATACACAAACCCTACATTTCTGATAGTGAATTAAAGAGCTTGCTTACTAGTGTTATATAGAATAATTATTAGGGTTTGTTCACCCTTTTATTATTTATTTATTTATTTATTTTTGTCATACTTTTTTTAGTATAAACGTTTTTTGGAATGAAATAGTTGTTGAATTTCTTTTTATACAATTGAGAATTAAGAGAAAAAATGAAAAAAAAAATAAATGCATCGAACATTCCGGTAGTTTTGTGGTAATTTTATCAAGTAAAATTTATGGTATGCAGTAAAATATCACGCTATGTAGAATTATCATATTATAAATCTATTAAGTCTTAAGAATTAGTACATTTTACCAGATTTTTTTTTATTTATTTATTTTAAATATACGGTAAAAATTAATTACCAAGGAAAAGTAATTAAATCTTTTTTACTGTAGGCTTGACCATTCTGAATTATGAAAATTCCCAATCTTAAACCTTAAATTATGAAGTTTTAATAATAAATTTTGAATTTTACATTAATAATAATATTTTCTACTCTTAAAAGCTATCGATTTTCTTTTTAATAATTATATACATTTAATAAGATAAATTGGGAGTGTGTGTTATTCAAACTACTATTTTTCTTTTATATTCGATGATTATTTCACTTCGAAATCAATGAAGTTTATTTCACCCATTAATTAAAATTGACGATATTATTTTCGTTTTTATTTATTTAAATTTTTAAAAAGTGAATCACATTATCAAACAAGCTCTGAAATTTAACTTTCAAGATAAAAAATCATATTCATTTCTTACCATAGTAATTGTGGAGTGTATAAACATATCAAAGTTGATGACTGATTTTGATCCCCAATGCAGGGGAGCATTGGGACAATCTTTTGTCTTACATGGTATTTCGATGGCGTCGGCGACCGTGGCGTCAGCCATGGCCAATCTTGGTCCAGCCATCACATTTATTTTGGCCATTTGTTTCAGGTAAAGACAGCAAAATATATAATCCTCGAACATTTTTCTGTTGTGGATTGAATTGTGGGCAACAAACTATTTGATTTCAAGATTTTCTTATCTCATCAATCTCTATTTACAAAAAAAATTCCGATTTTGTGTTTGAAACAAACATAAATTATAGGCTGCGGATTTAGTGCTGATCCAATCAAATCAGCATCATGCTAATTTGATTGGGTCGATATATCAAATAAAGGTAATCAAGATATATTATGTACTATCATAACATATTTAGGATATAAGATATGTTATATTATAACTCAACATGCAAAATATATGCTGATTACCTTTATATAATATAATGACCGGATCAAATTAGTACTATATTGATTTGATAGGGTCAGGACCTTATCCGCACCCATAATGTGGTTCATGGCTGAAGTATTACACTCTTTTGTCCGAACATATTTAGATTAGAGAGGCTACGGTTGGACACACTCGAAGGGAAAGTAAAGGTTTTAGGTGCCGCAGTGAGTATAAGTGGAGCGATATTGATCGCCTTATACGAAGGGCCTCCTTTGAAACTCGGACATCATCGAACTAATTTCTTACAGGCGAATCATGACCTATTTTACGGCACTCTCCTCACCTTTCTCAATACGGTTTGCTATTCATTGTTCTTGATTATTCAGGTGAGCTATTCGATTGAATTTACGACGCATGTTTGTAATTTACTTCATTGGATATATATATATATATCATGATTTGTTTTTACAATCAAAGATTAAGGTTTTGCTTTCTACTAATTACTATGTATGTTGTACTAATAGGACAGTTAAAATTAATTACAACATTTGCATCTCTTCAATGACTAAGGCTAAAGCTGCCGCAGAGTTTCCTTTTCCATACTCTATCACCGCGATGATGACAATTTCGGCCGCAATCCAAGGAGTTGCATACGCCTTGTGCGTGGAGAAGGATTGGAATGAATGGAAATTGGGATGGAATATCAGATTATTCGCCGTATCTGTTAATGTAAGATTATTACAGCTTTCGAAACTTTATTGCTCTTTATTTTTTTGGTAAAATTGTTCATAACTTCCATGTGGTTTCGAAATTCAGCGTAAAATCTCTCTGTACTTTAAAAGTTGCATGATACTTCCTTATACTTTAAAAAACGTTGCATGAAACTCCACCGCCATGAAAACTCTCCTGTATGATGAGAAGATGATTCACTATCGGTATGTTTTGCATGACAGAGGGGGTTTCATGCAATATTTTTGAAATTATAAGGGGCGCCATACAATTCTTTAAAGGAAAGTGGGGATTTACAGTGAGTTTTAAAATCATAGTGGGTTTTCATGCAATATTTTTTTAAAGTATAAGGGGATACCATGCATTTTTTAAAGTAAAGGAGAATTTACGCTGAGTTTCGAAATCACAAGAAAATTATAAACAATTTTACCTTTTTTTTTTGAAATATATAAATAGATATTCAAACCTTATACAAACATACCATTGATATAAATACAGGGCATTATAACATCCGGATTGTCGTTCCCATTGATAGCATGGTGTATCCGTAGAAGTGGACCGATTTTTGTATCGGCGTTCACTCCTCTATGCCTTATCTTGACGGCCATCGGAGATTACCTATTTCTTCACCAGGGACCACACCTTGGGATGTAAGTTTATATTACCTTTGAACAATTAATATATTTGTCATGAAATCCGGGCGTAACATAAGCATTTGTTACATAATTTTTATTTTAACAAAATCGACATAAAAGATTTTTTACTGCAATTTTTTACCATTTGTTATGGTTATTGTGCTTGATAGAATGCAAGTTTTTTTGGTAGTGATTAGATAGGAAAATGGTGGTTTAGTTCATGATTTAGTTATAGGAACTCTATAAGTTTTCTAACACCCGCTTAGAGAGTTCTTTTGCGCATATTAGGATAAAATTGCTTATATCTGTATCATACTCTTAGAAACACTGCAAAACTTTTCTATTTTTAGAAATATTATATAGAATTTTCTAAAGATTATGTGAGACTTGTCGTATTTTCGAAAATCTTGCAAAGAATCATTACAATATCTTAAAAAATACGAGGAAATCTCAAACAATTTGTAAATTATAAATGACAATAATACAATCTTTCAAAACTAAATGTGAGTTATAAACCAATTTGCCTCACTAAATTGTTTTGTTTTTATTTTTATGAAGTTAAGGATTTGAAATATTGCTTGTTAATTTAGGCTTTTGGGATGCATTATTATTGGGGGTGGATTGTACGTGGTTTTATGGGCGAAAGCAAAAGAGTTGAAGAAAAATAAAGATAACTCATCATGGGAAGAAAATGCGGAATCAGCTCTACTTTCAGGTTGATTGTATCCGATTGTGGATAATCTTGCGTGTTACGATCATCATATACTTAATTCAAACTTCGAATTTTATTTTTTTGGTATTATTTTGAAATTGGTGAGGATTTGGATAGTAAAACTAGCTATTAATGATTTTGGAATTTTGGTTTTGCATGCATATCGGTAAATGATAATGAAACTAAATTTTGCTTTTTGTGTCACTCTATATCGTTTTGTTCTCAAATGTGTTTTTGTACTATTTAAAAGTTTTTTTTTTTTTCAAATTCGGATGGTATTAATACAATTTCACTTGAATATTTCATAACCCAAATATTTTGTGTTTATTTATATTTATTACACTTTGATGGTTTGAATAATGACTCACTCCTTATTTAAACACTATCACTTTCTCAACATACTCTGAAGATCTATTTAATCCAATAGTTTTGGTTTATAGAGGTTCTCAATAATTTTTTTTTTGTTATTCTAATACTTCCTCCATTCCACGTAAAATATTCATATGTTCTATTTCGATCCATTCCATATAATTTGCTATTTGTTTTTGTAAATATTATTATACACTTTAATCATATTTTAAAATTTGAAATCATAATTTTTTTAAATCTTAATTAAACTATTTAACTATATTAATTTTAATGTATAATTATTTTTATTATACAATAATTATTTTTATTAATAATTTTTTTAATTACTTACTAAATATATTTTACCTAAATTCTCGTATCTACGGTTACACAAACATTTTATCCGGGATGGAGAGAGTATTTTTAAGTTGAAATAATTTTTAAATTTGATGTATAAGATATTATATAGTAAGAAAAAAAAAAATCTCAATGAATATTAGATGTAATATTTAACGAACTAAAGTCTCTATTTCTTTGTGGAAATAAAATACTTCCTCTCATTTTATATTTTTGTCCGTCCGAAAAAAATACCATAATTGTACCACCTAACTAACATAATAAATATCTTTACAATATACATATGTTACATAAATTTCATTACTTTTATATTATACGACTAATAAGAATGTTTTTTTTTTTTTTTTACTAAAAACCAATATAATACTAATATTAAAAAATTTAATGCATATAAAAAAAAATAGTTATTATAAAGGGTAAATAAATGCATTTAAAGCATAGTTGTTATATAATTATAATAATTTTGTATCATAATTGTTTAAGGGTGTGTTACTCAAGCAACTGAGTATTTATTCGGCATGTTTGAAATTGATAATATCCATTGACAGATCTACGTGGGGCTTGGGGCAACAAAAAGTATATATATATATATATATATATTTTCAGTTTAAAATAAATAAAGTTTATATAAATATATTATTTTGCCCCCTCCCCAAAATTTAAATTTATTATTTGCCCCTTTCAAAATTTAAGTTTTTCATATATATTTTTTTTATTTTTTATTTTAATTTGCATTAATATAATGATTTTAGTTATATAAATATAAAATATAATTTTTAATACTAAATATTATTTCAAACTCTTCCTAGCATTATTTTTTAGCTTTTTTTTTTCAACATTCCATTGCACTATAGAAAATCTAAGAAAATACAGTTGAAGTGGTACAAAAGAAAACCTATTTGAACAAAAAATCAATCATTCACAATTTTAAAAAAAGTTAAAACTGAAATCGAACCATAACAAATCGAACCAACTAGACACTTCTGCCATCTAACTTTGAAAGTTAGTTCCGTCATTGAAAATATTCCATACTGAAAAAAAAAAAAAAAAAAAAAAAAACTATAGAAACTATCTTGACATATAAAAGTAAATACTAATTGATTTTAAGTTTGAAGTTCGAATTCTTTGTGAACACAAGGGGCAAGGAATTACTCAGTCCATCAAAACTGTATGTATATGCACAGGGTGTGTTTGTTTGAGGGCTTGAAATTTGAGTTGGGATTTGAATAATAAAAATTTTGAATTTGAATAATTGTATGATATAATATAAATAGGTGTTGATATAATGTTTTGAATGTAAAATTGATTTTTATTATGATATAAAAAATAAAAAATAGGTATTTGATTTGATATCTTTTTAAAAAAAAATAAGATGAATAGTGCATTTAGGGAGAAATCCCCCAAACAAATACACCCATAATATATATTTTTTTCTATGCATAAATACACAACACAGTTTAAGGTCTACGGGGACAGAGAATATGTGGAGGTTGAAAATCACAGTGGTTTAAACCCACTTTTTAATTAATTGAAAATTACAAAATCTCAGATGAGATCGTCTCTCCTAGACAGAATTCTGTCCCGTTGTTTCATACACACAGTGTGTATATATATACAGATATGTGTGTATAAAGTAATATTTTATATATACACACGTGTGTATGTATAAATACTATATATGTAAAGATAGCCGGATAGAGTTTGTTTTTGAGCAGATGATCCCATGGGACAATCTAGTTATGCTTTTCTATTGGGCAAGGTGGCCCAGATGTTTCAAAATATCGAAATAAATTAATTTAAACAAATATAATTACAAGTTTATTCTTGCTGAGGCTAATTATGTTTGGAGATTTTGTAGTCGAAGTTCAAAACCATCTCAAAACACTTGCCACAAAAAATGTGGACAAAGTGCCATGAAATAAAAGTGAAAAACAATAAAGACAATCAAAATTTTGCAATTGGAATTTGAGACGAAATAAAAGTCTAGAAACGTCCAAGTTTTCAATCATAAACCAATCAAGCTGGCGACATTGATTTGTCTATGGACAACAAAAGAAAAAAGAAAAAAAAAAATGTAAAAAAAATAATAAATTGAAAAAATATTGAGATATAATACTTTTGGGACCCTTATATTGATGTTTGTCATTTTGTTCTCTAAATTAATATACTACCTCCGTTCCCAAAAGAGTAATATTTGTTTTTTGTACGTAGATTTTTTAATATTAGTATTATATTAGTTTATATTGAAAAAGACAAAAATATCCCTATTAGATTGTGTGATAAAAAAATGATGATATTTGTGTAATATATTAGAAGTTGCAAGGGTATTAATTATGTTAGGTAGATAGTACAATTATTAAATTAGAAAATGATATATATATTTTTTGGAACTGACAAAAATATAATATTATATATTTTTTTTGGACGGATAAAAATAGAAAATGATTTTTTTTTTGGACGGACAAAAATAGTATAAGTCGAGGGAGTATTTCCTTTATGATATCCTCTATCAACTAATAATTTAGAATTCATGAATGCTAACTTGCTATGTCATAAACTACTATTTTGTCCATGTACTGTAAAAGTATTGATTAATTATTATTAATTTTAATTCAAAACATTCAATAAATATTCACTACAAAAAAATAATATATTTGTAACGGAATTCCGTCCCTAAAGTTCACGTAGTTAACGTAATTCCATTACTAATTCCGTCTTTAATGTCATTAGTAACGGAAAAAGTAGATTTAGAGACAAAAAAGTTTTGTTACAAAAATAATTTTTTCTTGTAGTGATTGTCACACCTACTTTATTAATTTTTGTTAATATATTAATACTTTTTAAATTTTTATAATTACAATTTTAGTTAGTGGGTCTATGTAATTTAAGTTAATATTCGTACATTACAAAAAAATAGTATATTTGTAACGGAATTCCGTTCCTAAAGTTCACGTAGCTAACGTAATTTCGTCGCTAATTCCGTCTCCAATATCATTAGTAACGAAAAAAGTGGATTTAAGAACGAAAAAATCTTGTTACAAAATTGATATTTTTTGTAATGGTATATGCAATACTTTGAACGTTTATCTTAAATTAGAATTGTTACTTTATTTTAATAGTTTAAACTTTAATTGAATAAACTTGTAGTATCCATTTCTATATAACAATATATTAATATTCAATATTTTATTTCATCTAAAACCATAGAAACATAAAAATGAAATTGAAACAAAAACATTTGTTTGGATTGGGCTTGTATGGAGTTAAAGATGACAATGGGTAGGGGTAGGTCCGAGACTCGGACCCTATCGATTTATTTGGGGTCGGGTCCAATTATTTGGGTATTGAGTCAGGTCTTTAATAAGTTTTTGGGGGTCGAGTCGGGTCTAGGGTTTAATAGCAGACCTTACCCAACCCGGACACGTTTTTGGACCCGATTAATTAAAATAATAAATTTTATTATTTTTTCTATTTTTAATATTCCCTCCGTCCCATAAGTAAGTATTCATTTACTTTTTGCAGGTTGATATTTGAATATTAATTATTATATCAAAATGTATTACAAATCAAGAAAAAATTGCAAAAATATTTATATTAGTGTCTTATAATACTAATATAATGACATTTGTATAAAAAATTATACAAATATAAAGATATTTTTAACCTTAAGTACAATGACGCAAAAGGTAAATAGATACTTGTTATGGGACGGATGGAATATATGTTTTCAGTTTTCTTTTTAGCATTGGAAGTGGTGGTGGCAGCAGAGGCGTTGTGGTACTGGTGAAGATTTATATTTATTGTATATATATTTTTAGTTTATTTTTTTAAAAATGAATATATATTTTTTTAGGTAAGTTTGTCGAGTCAAGCTTGTATTAAATAATTTTGAATTTGACGGGTCTGACGGGTCCGCGGGTACATCACGGGTGGGTCTGACGGGTCCGCGGGTACATCACGGGTGAGGTCCGAGTACATACGGGTCCGAATACATTAGGATCTGGGTAGGATCTTAAGTCCAGTAATATACATATGGGTAGGGTCTTGAATCCACCTATACCCGACCCATTGCCATGCATCCTATTTGGAGTAGTCACGAGTTTCTTGATGTTGGGTTGACTCTATAATATATATATACATATATAATGTTATGTGTATTTTTAAAAGCATGGGATATCATTTAATATGGTATAGAGTTAGCCTTATATTCATCGTTATTCGCGTGCAAGATTCGTATAATATTCATTTAACACTTAAATATTGACAAACTTAAAATTTTCTCTCTGACGCTTATTATAATTGACTCATACCAAACCTGCATCATATTCTACTTGACATTCCTATTGATCATGTTGAACCTTTTGGTATGGCGCGGAGTTGGTGCTCCGACATGAGGCGATCAATGTATCAGATAATTATAATTAATTAGCAACATACCAAAAAAACTTATTAATAGGAAGTGCAATAACAAAAACAACAAACATAAGTCCATTACAATAGCGTAAATTAATGTCGAAAATAGCACAAATTAAAATTTTCGAAATCTTGAAGTAGAATAAACAGTAGCAGCTAGCAGCATATGAATCAGAAAGAACCTTTCCCAGCCTTGGCAACCAAGTGCACAGCACAAGTATCAAGATCGCCTAGCCCCATGCTTATCCCTTTCTCTAAAACCTATAGATTTTACACTTGTTAATTAGTAAAAAGATACATTTTTTAAAAATTAAATATCACCAAATATTAATGTATCTCTTTGCCAAGGCACTAAAAAAAAGTTGAAGTTAGCTACAAAAAAATTTCGTAGCAAAAAATAATGAATTTATAGCAAAAACATCTTTGTGAAGAAACTCATTTCATCGCCTATACCGCGTTAGTAAAAGTCTTTGGGGACAAATAGGGTTTTTACAATACGAAATCCAATTGATGGATTTAGTAAGTGCATACCTCCTATATGCTGAAACCCCGTAACATATTAATTGGGTGATGAGACCAATTAATAATAAGAGATATATATTAGGATTGCGATCCCAATTCTAGGAACAACATCCATTACTTTTCATATCTCATCGTGAAAGTTATAACGGCAAAAACTCTAAAGATTTTTTCAGAAGATGCTGTGTCATTGGCTTGAAGAACACAAAACCCTCAATCAATTGACAAATACAAATCCGACTGCGCTAGGAAATCAGATTAGATTTATTTGTTTTATTTTCTTATCTCAATTATTATATGAACATGACATATCCTATGTTTAAGATTTAATTCCTATAAGTTCCAACATTTAATACTTTATAAATATGCAATTAGATGTGATTAGGGTGAATTATATCACTTATAGTAAACACACCCTTCGTGTTTGTTTCATTTAATTTTCTAGAGGACCTAAATAATGTATAATAGAGATTGAGTTGTATTGAATTTGTGTCAATTCATACCTCATTAGACGCCGCAGCCACGGGCACAGGCACCAAAAGTTCATCCGCAAGACTAAGAGCCAATCTCATGTCCTTTTGCTGGAGATTCATAGAAAAGACAGGGGAATAATCACCTTGGATCATGGGAGGTCCCTTTCGTCGAAACAATGGATTTCCAAGTGCACCGATATCCTACAATTGGGACAACATTGTTGATTATGTATATTGCATGAGTGATCTTGGTTTGAGATTTTTGGCTGCCAATATTGTGGACTTTGCTCTTACCAATATGTCAAGAAATGTTTGTGGGTCGAGTCCACTTTTCTCGGCCAAGACAAGCCCTTCAGCGAGCGAGTTGAACATACTGCAATATACGAACAATCAGAGGTTATATATTATCTGATTTTTTCATCTTTACTCTTATATAAGTCCTTAATGTGAAGTTGTAGCAACCTGGTGGAGTTTGTTTGGGGGTTTGGATTTTGAGTTGGGATTTGGATAGTAAAAATTTTGAATTTGAATAGTTGTATGATGTGATATAAATAAGTGTTGATGTGATGTTTTGAATGTAAAATTGATTTTTAGTTTAATATAAAAATGAAAAATAGGTGTTTAATTTGATGTTTTTGAGGAGAAAAAATGTGATGAATAGTGGATTTAAAATTCAATCCCCCAAACAAACACACAAAAGTGTTTTCTTGATTTTAGTTCTACAATATGTCACCTGAAATTTCCATTTTCGACCATATTAGCCTATACAAATGCATGAAAAGGCAAGCACGGATGATAAATACATCGTTGTAACAATCTCTCAAGGATTCTTTGGCGCGTATAAATTTTTGGACTTTAAAATAGGCGAATACAGCTGGAAATGGAAATCTCGGTAACATTATATGGAGAACCGAAGTTATATTATCAGTAAAAGAGCATAAAATGGGGACAAAGTTTTAATGATTCGAAAATTCAAAATAAAAGTGATAATTGAATATATATACTGAAAGTAGGCTTTTAGTAAGGGGGCGAAGTGTGATGACCACCTTCCCATTATCACTTGAAGAGAAAGCTTCATTTTGGCGCCATTTCCGACTTTCCCAAGGAAGAATGATTTCTTTGACATTAAATCAATAATGGGTAACACTTCTTCATACAGCGACTGCAAATTTACATGAAATAAATTTATATTCAATAAGTATTATTAGTTGAGATCATTTAGCTTAACTTCATCGATTCTAAAGTTAAATTCCCACCTTGTCTCCAGCTGCAATAATTATTAGTTGGCCGCTCTCCGAATGCTTTCTTGTGCCCGAAACAGGGCCTTCGAGGAAAGCACCACCCTTTGCTGCGATCGCCTTAAACCATGACAAAAAAAAATATAAAACTTACATATAATGAGTTGAGTTCTTACAAAGATATGTAACAAGATTGAATTTTTCATTGTAATAGAAACTTGCTTGAATAGATTGTGAATTTAATGTTACTCAAGCGAAATAATATTAATAATAATGATACTCGAGCAACATCAACCTCGCTGATCTTTATCGTAGTGTTGGCATCGAGAGTTGACATGTCCATATAGCCTTTGCCACTACAAATTTGTTCTAGAACACCACCTTGATCGAATACCACCTGTCCGACGTAATTCTCAACTCAGATGATCCACATATTAAGCAACTTTCCTATAATGTGACCTCTTATCATTTTAGTCATTAATAGTTAGATGAGCTGAAAAGTAGCATCAATAATCGACTAACCGACAGAGATGCTGCAGGATCAGACAACATCGCCATCGTAAACTTGCATTTCTTAATTACTTCTGCAGGAGTTTTGGCTACAGTTGCTCCATGCTCAACCAATTCCTCAGCCTACAATTAATGTCTCAAAAGTTGTTAGGCAAAAATTGTGAAAAAAAAAAAAAAAGAAAAATAAGACAGTGTTACTGTGCCGATAGCACATAATATTTACTGTCAGCACCTGAAATATAAATCAACATCATAATGTATATTTATATGATAATACAAATATAATATATAAAACTAACAAGATAGGACAATAGTCCACACAACATATACTACCATTGATCTCATGACACAAGATATATTGATACAGTATACATATAAAATAAAACATATATATAAGTATTTTCTTTTTCTTATGACGTGGGAATCCGCAACTGCTACTCGAAAGTGTGGCAGGTGACTTGAGGCGTCGGGGGTTTAAACCCATGACTTCACGGTCACAAATACAACTCCTACACCACCACCAGGCCATCCTTTACTGGACTAACCAATCAGTACATTAACATCGTGTTGATCAACCCCAATCACTACATTAACCATTCCCGAAAAAAAGACACCAAAATACAATATTTGATTACTGAGTTCGATTTTTCTAATAATTATTTTTTTTGTAGAAATTTAAAGAAGGCAAGTTTGTCTCCATATAAGTAAATGGTTGGTTCCAACTTTGTGGATAAGATCTAAAGATGGAAGAATAATCATTTGTTGACCTCCATCATTTCCTACCTTGCATAGTCAATATTTTTGGAATATTATTTTCAAGAAGAAAGCCAAGAAAGTTTGACTAAAAAGTTACATTGAAAAACTCATTTAAAAAAAATTAATTCTTAATCTTCAAATTAACTAATTATTATCTATACTCTACTAAATAGTTTTCGTAGTAGATATGTTTGTGAATTAGATTAAATAATTAACAAAAGCAAGAAATCTATAGATATAGTAGACATGAAAAAAGTTTTAGTAAAACTTTACCTATGATGAATTTTTCGACTGATGTGGCCGAGAATTGAAAGAATTAATCTTAAAAGTATCAAATGAAATAAAAAATGTTTATTTCTTCGTATAGTTTATGGAAAAATGTAAGAATTGAAGTAGTTACCCGAGACAGAGTTCTATTCCAAACAACAAGTTTGAAACCCCTTCCAAGTAAGTTCATGGCTATGGCCTTCCCCATTACCCCCAAACCCAAAAACCCTATTTCACCCATTCTCTCTCTCTTTCTCACTCTCTCTCTATCTCTGTTCTTCAATATAGTTCAATAGATTGATATCATGTATATATAGGTAGCTGTGTGCAGAAGAAGAAAATCTGATGAGGATTGAATGAATGAATCGAGACAATGCACAGTGAATGTGGAAAAGTAATGTAATTCTATCTTCTGTGAACAAAACAAAAATAATAATTTATTTCTTTATTTATTTTTTTTCAAAATTACTTATAATTCGTTAGTAGTTTGAAAATTTTCCTCCATTCTTCTTTATCATTTAAAAAAATAAATGAGATTTTAATTTGTTTTCAAAAATATTATGGGTACGATTTGTTTGTGAGTTTGGGTTTTTGAGTTTGAATCTATGAATAGTAAAAAATTGAATTTGAATAATTGTTTGATGTGATATAAATATATATTAATATAATATTTTCAATGTAAAATAAAATTTTAGTATAATATAAAAAAAATTATTTGATTTGATATTTTTTTAAAGAAAAAAGAATTGAATAGTAAAAATATGTCTAAAACTATAAACAAACACAACCTATGTGTTTATTTTTTATTTCAAATAAAAAATTCACTATTTATTCCGCACAATTACAAATAAAAAATATATTATTTTTTCTCACTAAATATCATATAAAAATAATATGTAAATCAAAATTTAAATTATCATTTCAATTTCAAACCGAAACAAAGTAAACGTATTGCGCATATATATTTTTAGAGTATTTTATGAGAATTTTTTTCAATATTTTTGAAAATAAAAGAGAATTTACAAATTTTTTAAAAATACAAGAGATCTTTGTGGGCTGTCTAAATTATAAATATATATATATATATATATAAAAATTATGCTTACTACTTTACACACCCTATGCGTATGTAACAAGCATTTTTGCAGGGTATTAGGTTCGACCGGGGGTTGGATTTGTGACCGTGAGGTCATAGATTCAAATTTCCAGACGCCTAAGGTCACTTGCCACACATGATTCGCTTAGTGTGACTTTCCCGTCATCCAACAAGCATTTTTGCTTTTATTTTTTTAACCTATAGACATTGAAAGAATAAACCATCATTTATACTCCTATATTTTAAAAGAAAATTATGATGTATATAAATATATAAATAAAGAATCAATTCGTAATAATTGTCGAGACGAGGACCACTGTGACATGACTCTCTATCGTATTATATTATATTATTACATTTGATTGATCTCCTTCGTATCGGTCTCTATTATGTACCATTTTGTTTGTTTTTTCAGGAATGGCTGTCACACTTCAATTCGTTGGTTGCTATTACATATATATCGTCATGTGTAGAATTATTTTATCTATAACTCTCTCTATCACAAGGGACCATCGATTTACATGTGTTTTTCTTTTTTCTTCTTCTTTTTTTTTTTTAAAAAAAAAAGTTTAGCCCTAGCTAGCTTTAATTCACTACCAAAAAACAGGGTATTAACCACGGGTTGAGGGTTCGTAACAATATCATCGTAACAAATAAGTATTTTGATTACGATAAAAACCGTAACAAAACAATTTTTGTTCGGTCCATTTGATTGATTTACAATTTTTGTTCGTAACAATTTTTTGATCGGATTTTGTTGCGGACCATCACATATAACTGTGCATATATTGACGGGTAGCTTTAATCAGTTTTTGTAATGGACCACACATATATATATATATATGTACATATATATTTTTTACCCCAGCTAACATTAATTCACTTAGTTGTTGGATATATATATTGGCTTTGTTCACTTAGTGTTTTTTTGATCAATTTATTTTTTTTGATCAATTTATTTTTTTATGTGAGGTATAAAAAATTGTATCGGTAATATAAAAATAATATTTTATGTTAAAAAGTTAATTTTTGTGAGTGAATAATATATATATTATATGTAAATTTTTTACCTTAGGTAACATCAATTCACTTAGCTGTTGGATATATATTGAGTTTGTTCACTTAGTGTTTTTTTAATGAATTTATTTTTGATATTAGATATGGAAATTGTGTCGAAGTCGTAAACAAATTTACTCTAAGCTAGTTAGTCAGTTTAATTTGCTGGTGTTATTACTGCAGTTTAATGCCCCATTTCTTGTGTTTAATGAAACAAGGGGCACAAAAGGAGATGATAGTTTGTTTGGGAAGTTGTTTGGTATCTTGAGTTGATGTAAACCTAGTATAGGTTTGTGATACTCCTGAAGTTGATAGAGATAAGTTGGGGAAGATGTGATACTCCGATGTTGAATAAAGATTAAATGGATTTAATAAGTTATTTATATAAAAAAATGTGTATATTTTTTTTCGGAATGTTTCAAACTAGCATGGATCTAGTAATTGAAAATAGTGCATTGGTCATCGCAAGGTTCTTTTATTATATAGCAAATCTGGAATTCGAGTTTGTAAAAACTTTGTATTTTATGATAAACTAAACATATTAATGTTGGGTTCCATTTTATTAGTGATATTATGTCTAAAAATTTGATAAAACTGAAAAAGATTCCATCTTTATGTAATCAAAGTGTTAATTATTTCAAAGTTTTTCATGTATGAAAAACTTTGAATGGTTAGAAATATGGATGATGTAATATTACTTCCAACTTGTGTCATGTACAATATAAACGGATTTTATGTTTTACAAATATTCGTAGGGCGATGATGAGTAATTTATAATAGGGATGATAATGGGTAGGGTATGGGTCGGGTATAGATGGACCCGAGACCTTGCTCATATGAATATTACTGGACCCAAGACCCTAATGTACCTAAACCCGTATGTACCTGGACTCTACATGTGATGTACCTGCCAGACCCGCTGGACTTCCCAGACCTGCTAAAGTTTAAAAATTTCTACACAAATTTGACTCGACCCGATTTACTTAAAAAAATATTTATTTATTTCAAAAAATAAATTTAAAATATATATGATAAATATAAATTTTCACCCATATTGCCTTACGCCTCCGCTGCCACCACCACCAACAACACTAATAATAATAATAAGGGTAAATTATATAATACCCTCTCGTGTTTTAGTAAAAATGTACAACACCCTATGTTTAATTTATTGCGTAAAACCCCCTTGTGTTAATGTAAAATTTGCATGAAATACCTTCGTCCAAAACTGATATTTGATTTTAAATAAAATCCTAAATTACGCAACACAAAATATCTTAAATATCTTTTTTGAAATAAATAAATAAATATTTGATTAATCTTTCATTTTATAGTTTTTGAAAATAAATTGTTATCTAATTTTTATAAAAACTATAAAAATAAATAACTGGTCAATTATTTATTTATTTATGTTATTAAAAAAAATTATTTAAAATATTTTACGTTTTTTATTTGTATAAAATTTGCGTAATTTAGGTTTTTATTTATAACTAAATATCAGTTTTGGACAAGGACGGTGTTTCATACAAATTTTACATTAATACAAGGGGGTTTACGCAATAAATTAAACACAAGGTATTTTGTGCATTTTTATTAAAACTCAATGGGTATTATATAATTTACCATAATAATAATAATAAAATTTATTATTTAATTAATCAGGTTTGGGTTTGGGTCCGGGTCTGGGTCCGGGTCGGATAGATCTGCTATTAAACTCTCAACCCAACCCGACCCGACCCTAAAAAATTTATTAAAAGTTTAGTGTTTTAGTCTTAAATTGTTCCAAGTTTAATTGAATTTTAAATTTTTATAATTTTATTATTTTCTTGAATTTTTTTATTATATAATTTTATTGCTATAAAATATAGTAATTTTTTATTATTTGTGTTTGGTTTATATATATATATGATGTTATAATCTTTCATCAAAAAACACTTAAATGATTTAACTATATTATCTATTTAAATGAAAATATTAGACAAAATAATATTGATACTACAATAATGTTGTAACAAAGATGCTAAAAGAATATTTTATTTAATTATTTATATTTTATATAAGTAAAAAATAATTATATACATATATTTAAAGTCTCTTATTTTTATTTTGTCCCAGGCTTTGAAATGTCAGGACCGACCTAATTTTATGTAATTCTATCGTATCAACTTATGATTTATATTACTATGATAAGTTGCCTCACTTCCCCGGCACTTTTCAGGCCCACTTGTTTTAAGTAAAGCCACCCATATAATCATTACTCACATTCATATAATTAATTCTTTTTGCAGATTTTTTCTAAATTATGGGTAACAAAACTGTTTGATTCCAATATTTTTTCATCTCATCAATGTTTTGAATATTATATTTGACAAACTTATATTAGGATTTATATATATACTTAAATTAAAATTAATATAATTTATTCCGTACGATTTTCAATAAAAATATATTACTCTCTCCGTCCCATCTACTATAACCACATTGCCGTTTATGTCCGTCCTATATTCCATGTTACTTTTTTTTTTTGGAAAATGATTATATACTTTAATCTCATTTTAAATTTTCTAATTTAATTTCATTTAAAATTTTATTTAAACTAATTAATTATTTTAACCTTAATATATAATTATTTATAATTCAAACCTAAAAACTAAAATCCACAAACAAACACACCAACTAATTTTATTATACAATAATTAATTTTTACTAATAATTTATTAATTATTTACTAATTATACTTTCTATAAATTAAATTTTCGTTTCTACGGTAAACTGGACACAAAATGTGAGACGGTAGGAGTATTATATTTTTCTTGATTGTTTTTGTTTAGGTGTTTTATTTACATTATTTTACATAAATATTATTAAAAAAATATGATATCAAATACTCCCCCTCGTTCCGTAAGTAAATATTCATTTGCTTTTTGCACGTAGTTATAGAATATTAGTATTATAGAAATAAAGTAGAAATGACTAAAATAACCTTATTAGTATGTGTGATATAAAGGTAATGTTATTTATATAATATATTATAGGGTATTTGTAATGTTAGGTAGATAGTACAGTTACTAAAAAAAGAAATGAATACTTTGTTACGGGACAGACTAAAATGGAAAAATGGATACTTTGTTATGGGACGGAGGGAGTATATATTTTATCAACTTATAAAAAAGTCAATAATTTAGTATAAATAGTATTATTTTTTATATTAGTAATATTAAAAATACATTGCTCCAAAAGTACAAAATAAACACTATATAATTTGTAGGTATGTTGCAGATCCTTCTCATATTTTATCTCCGGATGAGTTAGAGCTAAATGAAGATCTTTTGTATGAGAAAATGCCTCTTTAGATCATGGATACAAATGTTCGAACCATGAGGAACCGAGATATTCGTATGGTAAAAGTAATATGATCCCAGCATAGAGCGGAAGAGGTCACGTGGGAAGTAGAACAAAAGATGTTCAAAGCATACCCACATTTGTTTAATTAAGTAGTGTTGTTATGCGCTTGAGTTTAGATTTCGGGGACGAAATCTTTTTAAGGGGGAGTGAATTGTAATGCCCCAATTTCGAAGTGTATAAAATAATATTATTATAGCAAATAAATTAAATTTTCGTTTCTACGGTAAACTGGACACAAAATGTGAGACGGTAGGAGTATTATATTTTTCTTGATTGTTTTTGTTTAGGTGTTTTATTTACATTATTTTACATAAATATTATTAAAAAAATATGATATCAAATACTCCCTCCGTCCCGTAAGTAAATATTCATTTGCTTTTTGCACGTAGTTATAGAATATTAGTATTATAGGAATAAAATAGAAATGACTAAAATAACTTTATTAGTATGTGTGATATAAATGTAATGTTATTTATATAATATATTGTAAGTTGTAAAGGTATTTGTAATGTTAGGTAGATAGTACAGTTACTAAAAAAAGAAATGAATACTTTGTTACGGGATAGACTAAAATGGAAAAATGGATACTTTGTTATGGGACGGAGGGAGTATATATTTTATCAACTTATAAAAAAGTCAATAATTTAGTATAAATAGTATTATTTTTTATATTAGTAATATTAAAAATACATTGCACCAAAAGTACAAAATAAACACTATATAATTTGTAGGTATGTCGCAGATCCTTCTCATATTTTATCTCCGGATGAGTTAGAGCTAAATGAAAATCTTTCGTATGAGAAAATGCCTCTTTGGATCATGGACACAAAGGTTCGAACTATGAGGAACCGAGATATTCGTATGGTAAGTAATATGGTCCCAGCATAGAGCGGAAGAGGTCAGGTGGGAAGTAGAACAAAAGATGTTCAAAGCATACCCACATTTGTTTAATTAAGCAGTGTTGTTATGCGCTTGAGTTTAGATTTCGGGGACAAAATCTTTTTAAGGGGGAGTGAATTGTAATGCCCCAATTTCGGAGTGTATAAAATAATATTATTATAGCAAATAAATTAAATTTTCGTTTCTACGGTAAACTGGACACAAATTGTGAGACGGTAGGAGTATTATATTTTTCTTGATTGTTTTTGTTTAGGTGTTTTATTTACATTATTTTACATAAATATTATTAAAAAAATATGATATCAAATACTCCCTCCGTCCCGTAAGTAAATATTCATTTGCTTTTTGCACGTAGTTATAGAATATTAGTATTATAGGAATAAATTAGAAATGACTAAAATAACTTTATTAGTATGTGTGATATAAAGGTAATGTTATTTATATAATATATTGCAAGTTGTAAAGGTATTTGTAATGTTAGGTAAATAGTACAGTTACTAAAAAAAGAAATGAATACTTTGTTACGGGATAGACTAAAATGGAAAAATGAATACTTTATTATGGGACGGAGGGAGTATATATTTTATCAACTTATAAAAAAGTCAATAATTTAGTATAAATAGTATTATTTTTTATATTAGTAATATTAAAAATACATTGCTCCAAAAGTACAAAATAAACACTATGTAATTTGTAGGTATGTCGCAGATCCTTCTCATATTTTATCTCCGGATGAGTTAGAGCTAAATGAAAATCTTTCGTATGAGAAAATGCCTCTTTGGATCATGGACACAAAGGTTCGAACCATGGGGAACCGAGATATTCGTATGGTAAAAGTAATATGGTCCCAGCATAGAGCGGAAGAGGTCACGTGGGAAGTAGAACAAAAGATGTTCAAAGCATACCCACATTTGTTTAATTAAGCAGTGTTGTTATGCGCTTGAGTTTAGATTTCGGGAACGAAATCTTTTTAAGGGGGAGTGAATTGTAATGCCCCAATTTCGGAGTGTATAAAATAATATTATTATAGCAAATAAATTAAATTTTCGTTTCTACGGTAAACTGGACACAAAATGTGAGACGGTAGGAGTATTATATTTTTCTTGATTGTTTTTGTTTAGGTGTTTTATTTACATTATTTTACATAAATATTATTAAAAAAATATGATATCAAATACTCCCTCCGTCCCGTAAGTAAATATTCATTTGCTTTTTGCACGTAGTTATAGAATATTAGTATTATAGGAATAAAATAGAAATGACTAAAATAACTTTATTAGTATGTGTGATATAAATGTAATGTTATTTATATAATATATTGTAAGTTGTAAGGGTATTTGTAATGTTAGGTAGATAGTACAGTTACTAAAAAAAGAAATGAATACTTTGTTACGGGACAGACTAAAATGGAAAAATGGATACTTTGTTATGGGACGGAGGGAGTATATATTTTATCAACTTATAAAAAAGTCAATAATTTAGTATAAATAGTATTATTTTTTATATTAGTAATATTAAAAATACATTGCTCCAAAAGTACAAAATAAACACTATATAATTTGTAGGTATGTCGCAGATCCTTCTCATATTTTATCTCCGGATGAGTTAGAGCTAAATGAAAATCTTTCGTATGAGAAAATGCCTCTTTGGATCATGGACACAAAGGTTCGAACCATGAGGAACCGAGATATTCGTATGGTAAAAGTAATATGGTCCCAGCATAGAGCGGAAGAGGTCACGTGGGAAGTAGAACAAAAGATGTTCAAAGCATACCCACATTTGTTTAATTAAGTAGTGTTGTTATGCGTTTTAGTTTAGATTTCGGGGACGAAATCTTTTTAAGGGGGATTGAATTGTAATGCCCCAATTTCGGAGTGTATAAAATAATATTATTATAGCAAATAAATATTTTATAATATTTTAGAATTAAGAAATTAATATTTTAAAATAAATTTTATTCCTATTTTATATATTAATTATGATTGAAAAGACTGTTAAATAAATAAATATCGATAAAGATAAAGATAAAAATAAATATAAAATATAATATAATATATATATATAATATAAAGATAAATACATGATGATGATAATAATAATAATAATATAGATAAGGATGATACTATTAATAATAATAATAATAATAATAATAATAATTTAATGTAATTGTATTTTATATATATATATATATATAAACGTAACAAACAAACAAACCTTACCTTGAAGAAAAGAGGGAATCGCTAGGGAGAAAGAAAAGAAAGAACAAAGAAGAAAAAGAAAAAGAAAAGATTTACCCGTTCGATTTTGATTTCGGTATTGTATTTCTTGTTTTATGTAGAATTTAATTATGAATTTTAATATGAATTTCGATATTTGGGATATTAAATTATATTAGAAATTCTTTTAAAATTCATAACTGGCTATTTGGCTATTTATTCGACTAATTTTTTTAGCTGATAGCCTAGTTGTAGTCCTGGCGTTATATTTTGAGAATTTCGTATCGATCCGAGCCGAATTGAAAAACGCTAGTATACTGCACCTGTCTATTTATTCATATCTTTAAATATTATTTATTTAATAATCGGGCGATATAAATATTACGAGGTATAAGAATTTTATAGCTAGAATATCGTATTCTACTAAATATAAAATTTGAAACCCAACGAGCTAATTATAGAAATTAGCTTTTGAATAAGCATGTAGCTCCTATGAATAAGCATATAGCTCAGCTGATTTGAGTAAATAATGGGGCAGGTGTACGTTGGAGGAGATTTCTGTGAGATTGCAAAAGTTAGGCAGTGTCGATAAGAGGTAAGCAGTAAGGAATTAAATCTAATTTTAAGAAATTAGGTATGCATGTTGCATACGATTATGATTAATATGCTAATATGATATTATGTGAATCTTTTTGTCAATGCATGTATATATTTATATTTATATATATATAAGTGCGTATGCATGTGGGAGATTTCACGGTTTATGATATTTGATATACGTATTTGATCGCGTTGGTGAATTTATGAAAATGAGGATAGGTGAGTTGTCTCACCAGCTCTTTTTGGTAAGTTTACTTATTTGGTATGTTGCACACATATTGCACGATTTATCGGATATATTTTATGGATCTATCGTTTAGTCGTCGTGTGCGGTAGTGCTAGGCGAGGACATCATCTGGGGTTAAGATATTCGACCCCGATGTACCGTAACACTTTGGCGATAGTGGACGATAGTAGTTGGACAACTGAGTGACTTAGTCACACGGTCATTTAGGGATTAGACCCATGGTAGTTGAGACGTATTTGGTCTAATCATTCGTGTTAAGTGTTGTTTCACTCATTGGGCTGGCCACTGGTGAGGTCTACCGGTAGTTTAGGATCATATGCCAAACTCCAAACGTGATCCCGTTAGGGCGCGCGAGGAGGAGTAGGGTTTCCGGGTATCTCTTGGATGATTCCAGGTTACACGGATTCTACTACATTATTGGGATAGGGCTAGTCAGTGGGGGTCCTATCTTTGCTATCACTGACTATGGGGCGTCTTGTGGTTAATGGCGACAACATTTGGCTATCCATGTATTGATTGTGGGAGTCGTATGATGACCGTTATATTATTATGGGTTTATGAGGTCCTTCCTTGAGCCGATGATTTTTTGGCTATTTATTGATGATGGTCTAGTGAGCTTGTTATTACAGGGCCGGGGTTATTCCGGCTGTTCACTTAGACAGATGCAGTAAGCCTATTATTATGGAGTCGATGTTATTCCGACTGCTCACTTCGGCGGATGTATATATATATGTGCATGTGCATTGTTGTCGAGTTTGATATCTTTGTTGCATCATTTCACTATTGACATGACATGACATGTATATTATGATTGACGGAAATTACTTTACTTTAAGAGGTATGAAATGACATATTTCACGTTAGTTTTTAGAATGAATTTAATTCTAGATTGCTTTTAAGAAAAATATTTGTTTCAAGTATGCATGGCACATCCGAGACAAGGGACGTCTCGGGATATAGAAAGACGGGCTGAGTGAGTGAACTTACATCTATTGTATTATATGTAAATTTTAACCGGAAAACCTCTTGTTTAGGAGCGTGTTTGTGAATATTCATAAATAAGATTTTGTTATATAATAATGCGCTTTTATGGTTAATTTTAGCCTTAAGACTGTATTGTGGGGCCCGAAGTAGGAGGTGACGACCTCATGATGCAGTGTAGCGGTAGCATTTCCAGTATGAGACAACTGAGGGTGTTACAAGTTGGTATCAGAGCATAGGTTTGGTAGACTTTGGCTCTTGTGATTAAAACTGTTTTAAAAATAATAATGATGTTAAATTGGTTTGGCGAGGTTTGAGTTTTGTGGGTGCATTCATGTTGATGAGGTTTATGCTTTAATGTTATACCTGGTTTAGTTGTGTTGCTGAGTTGATATTTAATCAGGGAAGTCGGGGGCAGTATGTCGAATTCTCGAGGTGATGGTTTATGTTGGGCTATTCGAGGCCCAGAGCTAGACCTTTGTCTGATGAGTCACAATATCCTGTGCCAAAGCATGTACCAATAGAGGCACCTAGTCAGGATTTCTTCCGGCAGTTTATGGCTGCGATGATGCCTCAACAGAGAAGTTTTATTGATATTGTGATGCGGCATAACCCACCAACATATTCTGGTTCCGTAGAGCCTGGAGTTCTTAAGTTCTTGGCTGAGAAGATGGAAAAGATATTTCGTGTTGTTCAGGTTCCACCAGATCAACGAGCCAATATTGTGGCTTATTTCTTGGAAAATCAGTGTTGGTTAGGTGAGGAAACTGCGGGAGTGGACCAAGTGGATATGATTTGGGATGAGTTCAAAGAAAAATTAAAAGCTAGGTTTATACCGTCACATGTTCGAAAGCAAAGAAGCAAGAGCTGCTGGACTTGAAGTAGAGTTCGATGTCATCGAGGACTATTTTGTAATGTTCAATGAGCTAGAGATGTATGTTCCTGACTACTTTACCTATGAGCGAGATAGAGTTGATCATTTTGTAGATGGGTTGCAGCAAATGATTCAAGAAGCTTTAGCTGTGTTGGATATCAGTTCGTTGTATGAGGCTTACGAGCGTGCTGCTCGATTCTATCAGAAGCAGGAAGTCGGACATAAGAACAGTGAAAAGGAAATGAGGTATCAACATCAGTTTCGAGATAAAGGAAAAGCTAGGGTGGAGGGATGATGAACCAAAGGGTAAAAATAAATGGTGGCAAATATTTAGGTCTGGGCCATCACATAAGGGGATTTCGATTAAAGGACCGAGTCAAGAGAGGTTTCAACAATCGGGAGTTGTTTGTCAACGTTGTGGAAAAAGTCATTCAGGTATCCGTTGTGATAAAGTTCCATCAACATGTTTTAAGTGTGGTGGTAGTGGTCATATTGCCAGGTTATCCCCAAGTGTGGTAACTGCAAGAGAGTCATCTCGTTTTCGGCTCCAGTGGAGTTCTGTCATTTTCGGCTCCGGTGGAGAGTCATCTTGTTTTCGACTCCGGTGGAGTCATGTGGTTTTCGGCTCTGGTGGAGTCATCTCGTTTTCGGCTCTGATGGAGTCGTATCGTTTTTTGCTCCAGTGGAGTCATGTCATTTTCGGCTCCGGTGGAATCATCCCATTTTCGGCCATCTCGTTTTCGGCTCCGGTGGAGTCATGGGATTTTCGGCTCCGGTGGAGTCATCTCGTTTTCGGATAAGGTGGAGAGTCATCTCGTTTTCGGCTCCGGTGGAGAATCATCTCATTTTCGGCTCCGGTGGAGTCATCTCGTTTTCGGATCAGGTGGAGAGTCATCTCGTTTTTTGCTCCGGTGAAGAATCATCTCATTTTCGGCTCTGGTGGAGTCATCTCGTTTTCGGCTCTGGTGGAGTCATCTCATTTTTTGCTCCGGGGTGGAAAGTCATCTCGTTTCCAATTCCGATGGAGAGTCAACTATTATTTTTATTTGTATTTTTGTTTTGCTTTTACATTCAACTTTCTGATCAAACTCAAATTGGTTTATGTTATACTACTTGAATTTGAGGGGGAATGTTGAGATATTTTAGATATTCGATTTTAGATTTAGTAGTTTTATATTTAGATTTGATATTGTCCATATATTATATTATTTAGATTTGAGTCTATCGAGTCTGTTTTGTATTGCTTATATATATGCTCCTTGTTTTGATGTGACATAAGACAATTTTATTATTTTTCCCAAAATTTCTAACAATTTATATTATTAAATAATATAATTAATATAATTACTCCCTCCATCACGGTGCAAGGTTGCCGTTTACTTTTTGCACATAGATTTTTGAATATTAATATTATAATAAGTTGTAGTGAAAAAGACGAAAATATCCCTATTAGTATTGCGTAATACAAAAGTAATGACATTTGTTAAGTTGGAAATGTATTTATTATGTTATGTATGTAGTACAATTACTAAATTAGGAAATAATAACTTTATTTTAGAACGGACAAAAATAAAAAAATGACAACATTTCAATGGAACGGAGGGAGTATATAAATTCAAATATTAACTATCAGCACCGGTGTTGAATTTAAACATTCAGCACCCAATCCATGCCGATAATATACATATATACTTCCTCCGTCGTATAAAAGTATGCCCATTTGACCATGCATGAATTTTTTTAAAAATTAGTAAAAATAGAATTTTTTTTTATGGTAAAAAAAAGTAAAAAATTGGTATTTTTTTACTAAAAATAAAAATAAAAATAAATTTGAATGACAACAAAAAAATAAAGTGAAAATAAATTTGGATGACAACCAAAAAATAAAGTAAAAATAAATTTGGATGACAGACGAGTATATTGTAATTATTATAAGAGCATATATAATTTTTATATTCCCTCCGTTCCGTTGAAAGGATGGCGTTTATTTTTTGCACGTAGATTTTTTAATATTAGTATTATATTGGATTGTACTAAAAAAACAAAAATACCCCTATTAATATGGTGTAATATAAAAGTAATGACACTTGTGTAATATATTGTAAGTTGAAAGGATGTTTATTATGTTAAGTAGGTAGTATAAATATTAAATTAGGAAATGGTAACCTTGTTTTAGGACGGACGAGAATGGAAAATGGTAACCTTTCAATGGCTGGGTGGGAGGGACGATATAAAATCAAAAGTAATGACAGGACTTGTTTGTCTTGACCCCACAAGTTGGATATCAAATATTGCTATTTGGTCTCTACTTGGATTTCAATTATATATATTGTTATTGAAAGATGAAAATGAAGATATATATCGAATCTACTAGTGATGTAACGTTGAGGTGAACAAACAGGCGACAGAGAGTGGAAGTTGTATCTGAAATCCTCCAAGAAAATTACTGATAGAAACAATAGAAATCAATTAATTGATGCAAGAAGATACATACATGCAACAACAACAAATTAAAGAGAAAGTGATATATGTATATATATATATATATAAGTCACATGCTGTAAATTGATCGATAATGGTGTTGTTTGTCTTCTTCAATGTTGTGTTGTTGATGATATCTGACTCATAAGTAGTTTGGATATTAATGTTATCCAACGCTACTCAGTGGGAGACACCACAAATGACTTTTGAAGCTTTGGAAGGCCAACTTTACCATATAATATTATTGTCCTCTCCTTTATTTTTTTTGTTTTTATAATATATATATTTTAAGGTTAAACTGTTTTTTTTAGTTCCGTAATTGGATCCCCTTATCATTTTAGTCTCATAAGTGAAGTCTGTCGCAAACTAGTCATAAGTGAAAAAATTTTAATGTTTTAGTCCTCCGGTGACG